GTGACCTCGGAGGCTCTCTACGGTGTTTTGCTTCGCTGCTGATCAACCGTGCAGAAAGCGTGTGAGGCCGCCGCACCACATGACTTCATTCATTCACTGTCAGGATGACGCAGAACGAGGCCGAACTCCCTCATTATGTCCAGATGGAGGCGGGGGGACACACCGCCGCCTCCCCCTCAGCCTCAGCCTCCCCCTCAGCTTGTGGGCGTTCAGCCAGAATCTGCAGAACAATGAGCTTCCTCTTCAGTCAGACCTCAGTTTCTCTGAAATACTGAAGTTCACGACATCGCTGCAGAAAATTCAAAACTGGAAAATGAAATGTCAACGTTGTACAAAAACTGAAACCAAAAAGGTCAAACTAATAATAGCTGCTGCACCACGTGTTCATAACAGTGCATTCGTTTATCTTAAACACAATGCTGTTAAAAAAAAAAAAAAAAGCTAAACGTGGAATACGTTAAATGGTAGAAACTGAAAATAACAGCAAATATCTGAAATAACAGATTTTAATTTTTTAGCTGATTTAAATACTGTTAAATTTTACTGTTGACTGTAAAAGAGCAAATTACTATTTGTAAAAAATACAGATTTTTGATGTGGACATTTACAATTTGTTTTTTTTTAGGGGGTTTCACTATATAGGTGTAATTTAAGAAAAGAATTTGGTTCAATTAAAATATCAGTTTAAACATTTGATTTCTTTTCCCAGTCCTTAATGTTCATGATTTTTCTTTCATATACCTGCAAATATTTGTAAAGTTATATTTTTTGTTGTTAAATACTGTAAAACTTTTTTTATTTTTTAATGGTCAAATATTGTAAAAGAACACTGTACAATACAGATTTTCGATGTGATATTATTAGAATTTTGGAAAGTTATTTGAATTTCAGAGTGCTATGATTTGACACTAAATGACCACAAAGACACGAAACACAAAATTAAAGTTTCGTGGGACCATCATTAATTTTCCAGGACAATGATTGAATTTTGGCTGCAGCTG